TCCTTGTAAAAATGTCTGGTGTGGGTGGATGAATATACCTATGGTGTTGTTTTGCTTATATGTTGTTTTTATTTCATTTATGTATTTTATTTTAATATTATGATTATGCCTCTTTGCTATATATGTACAGCGCGGTGAGCCCAGCCCTAGGCCGGGGTACCGCGCTATATAAGACCACTTATTATTATTATTATTATTATTCCTGGAGCTGGCTAATGGAATATCTCTGTTGTTTTTTCCGAATTGATGGTGAGGCCGTAATTATCGCAGGCTATCAAGTATTTGCTGCATTTTCATCAGGGCACATTCATTAGCAAAAATGAGTTTATTTAACTTTCGTAATGGGTTACAGTCTCATAAGAAAATATCCCTCCACCTGTCCTGTATCTTATAGGAATTCCTTCTTTATTGTTAAGAAAAGCATCCATCAGCATTGCTGAGAATGCCATACTAAAAAGTTTTAGAGCTAGAATAAAAACAGCTTTGTTTTACGTCATAAGTTACAGGAAAAGCCACAGATCTATCTCCGAAATCCACCACACTGACCATAATACCACCATGGAGTTGGCGAACTATTATAATAAATTTACTCGGGCAGCCTAACTTCTCCACTATCGTCCACAGGCCATTTCTGACTGAATCAAATGCCTTGGTCGGATCAACAAAGGTGATGAATAGACCGTGTGTTGCCGGTCGGATCAACAAAGGTGATGAATAGACCGTGTGTTGTTCTTGGCATTTTACCTGGAGCTGGCGTAATTTAGTAATATTCGGGGTGTAACCTGACCAACCCCCTTTGACATATAACCAACGTCGGTATACTTCCACCCACGCTCATTTCCTAAAACAACCGACGGACTGCTCAGTAAAACTGGCCCAGAGAAACAACTGTAAAAATATATAAGATACCTAACGCTGCTGGCTGCTGTAGAAAAGGCAGAAGATAGCCAGAAGTGGCCTTAAAAAAAATAAAAAATAAAAAAAAAATGTTGTTTTTCTGCATTATAACAGGACACCTCAAAAAAAGGTGACAGAGAAAATTTAGTTTTGGTATTAGATAATAGACATTATTGTTAAAATATGACATTTTTTGTAGGCCAACATCGGAGGTCATTTACGACTATTCATTACATTATTTTCAAGCCTAAACATATCTTGTTCCACTATTTTTTTACTTTACGTGGTTTGTACGCAGTCACTTATATGTTATCTTTCATTACACCGTTTCTTCTTCTTCTCCTATATCTTAAGGGCCCACGATCAATTTATTGAATCATTTTGGCTCCTATCATGGGCGCCCGCAGAAAACTTTCTAGGGGGGGGGGGGTTAAAAAAATTCGTTTAACTTTCCAGGGGGGGGGGGCAAAAATTTTTTTGGTATTTTTTTAATATTGTTTTATTTTACTGTAGCGTATTTGTATGGTGAACGAACGGACAGGACATCAGCTTAGTTACTTTCTCTTTATTTTCTCTTTACTTGAATAAAAAAAAAATCTATTTTTGTCTACATTTTTTATCCAATCAATCCAGGGGGGGCAAGTGCCCCCCCCATTTGCCCCTACCTGCGGGCGCCCATGGCTCCTATGCGTGTAGATGGGATTTGCAATGTTTCTGTGCCTGGTGTTGATGAGGAAATTTCGCTGATGATTTCCAGTGCCACTATGTGAGGGGTTTGAAGGCTTGAGGCAATAGACACAAATGTGTCTAGTGTTGTCGCCTCAACTGTTCATTTTGAAAGCTTATTCCAGTCACTGATCGTCTTGGGCAGGAATGAGCAGCTCCTATACTGGCTTCTTGCTGGTATGAGCCTGAATTACCTGTCATGGCCTCGTCTCTGTATATGGGGGAGAAGGACGAGTTTCTGTTTAATACTGGAACAGTGGACCAGCCCATTATTTATCTTGTACATCATGGAGACTCTGGATTGTCGTCGTCGTTCCTCCAATGGTGACCAGGCTAGTGTTTCCAGCATGCTGTCAACACTAAAGGTATTCCTGTAGCGGTTTAGGACAAAGGGTGCTGCTCGTCGCTGGACCGCCTCCAACCTGTCAATGCTCTTCTGGGTAAATGGGTCCCAGACTGAAGATGCATAATCTAAAACCGGACGGAAAAAGGCTTTATATGCTCTTTCTTTCACACAGAAGTTGCCAATCTTTAGATTTCGCCTTAAGAACCCCCAGGGTCTTGTTTGCTTGGTTACATACGTTGTTAATATGCTCGTCCCAGCGGACCTCTCTTTGAATGGTAACACCCAGGTACTTTACGGAGGAAACTGGCTCAAGTATATGGCCGTGCAGTTCGTTTTGGTAGTGTAGAGGAGTACAACTTATAGAGACTGATAGTGTCTGGCACTTGGCAGGGTGAAATTCCATGTCCCAGCTCATCTCCCACCCAGCTAACAGATTGAGATCCTGTTGTAGCTGGTCCTGGTCATATCTGTTGGCGTTTGGTTGACTGGCCTATATTAATTCCCCCCCCCCCAACCCCAACCAAACAAAAAAAATCTAACAGCTTTAAAAATTTTAAAAAGTTTTTTTTTTTTTTTTTTTTTTTTTTTTTTATTTTTTTTTTGTTCCCTGACAAAGGCTTTTTGGCGTCAAGGTCGGTGCTTATTTTGTCTTCTTTCATGTTTTCACCAGGCCTGTGTTTTGCATTTACATCAGAATTTGCTTCCCCGCCTGTGATAAAATCGAATAATAATTATTATTTGCAGATATGGGCATTATAGAGAAAAGTGTGACGACACAGGATGGCTGGTTTTCGTTCAAAATAATATTTTATCTAGATTAAGTATTAGAAGTAAGAATCACAGAATATTAAATAAGTATCGATATCAAGTATAAAACTTCAGAAAGATATCGAGTATATCTGTTTACACATGCGCAAAGGAGATTTTTCTACGGCGTGTTGTGATACTAATAGAATAGAAATAAAATACCAAAGGCTACTCTGCCTTTCATTGCACAAGTCTAAGTGCATTTGTAAAATATAATACAATGAATTCATCCAGTAACGCCACGTAAGTTATCTATGTCCTTAGCAAACCCATTGTCAAATCGAGATGAAAACTTTTTCATGTAGTATGAAATGACAGGAAATCTTATAACTTGTCTTTTTTTTTTTTGGGTAGTAGTGTAAGCGTAGGCATAGCCACCTTAATCCCTGGTCCCTCACCCTAGCCATAATTACACTTGTGGACCTAATGATAGCTATGCTTTAGGCATGTATATGATTAAGAATATCTAACTTTATTAGACACTAATTTACTTGTGACTAATCTGCTATAATTTAAAGTAGAAGTATAGTCATGTAATAGTCATACATTTATTGATTGTTAATAGTTATACGGCATGGCATACCCTTTTATTTTTAGGCTGTTTTTATTATTAACTTTTGTCTTTTCTGACTTCCCACATTTGGTTTCACTTCCTCATTCATTACTTGTTTTGCTTGCTAATATTAAGGATGGATGCCATGGCGTCTTTTGTGTGTTTATTATAGTTGCAGTGAATTAGGGTTTAGGTTAGGTTGAGGGATCGATTTAGTTTAGGGTTCAGGTTAGGCATAGGGCATAGGGATCAATTTAGGGTTCAGGTTAGGCATAGGGATTGATTTAGGGTTCAGGTTAGGCATAGGGATCGATTTAGGGATACATTCGTGAAATTCGATAAAATAGTGGCATTCGTCCTTAAAATATTTACCATTTTGCTTTTTTTAAGTTTAGGCTTGCCGTTTAACAGACTTTAAATTTTAGTAGGCTGCTAATAACGAACAAGCCTAAGAAAAAGTAACACAGTACTGAGTTAGGCTAGGGCAGTGGTTGAGAAATCACAGCGAGCAACCTCACTCAGCCAATCTGCCACAAATCGGGTTTGACTCAAAAAAATGTGGTTCTTGGTAGGTCCTTGAAAAGAAATTTGGCTCTCAAAAATGTTTAATCATCCAGCTGCTGAGTTTTGGCTCTTTTGACTAATGAGTTTGCCGACCACTGTGCTAGGGGAAAAGTTAAAAGTTAGTAGTTCTGGTTTTTAACTATAGACTAGACACTATAGTGTCTATAGTTGTCTCACTGCAGTGACATCACATTACGTAATCCCAACAATCTATGTAAATGTAAGGCAAATAAAGCCCCATACATAGTCATGAGTCATAATGAATACAGAATTGTTGGACAATTGACCACAAAAATTATCCTGAACTTCTGGCAGTCCGAAAATAACTCTGTCACCTTAAGAATGTGTGAAATCCATTATTTATAATTATTGTAAAAGTTAAAAGGCTATCAAAATATAACTCGCAATGTTTTGAAATTATTGCTTTTGTTGTTACTGTCCCATAAATGAGCGGGCGGGGTGGGGGGCTCCATGACATATATTATACCATTAGCAGACGTTGGCAGAGGCACCACTAAATTATCCCTTATTAATTAGACTTTTTAGTAGGCCCCTGGTCCTAACTTCGTTTAAATTAGTAAGTAATTACTAAATTAGTCTTTAAGACATTTGAAATATTAAAATGGTTGGCTTGGCAGGTGCAACTGAAGACAATAATTTTACAGAAATATGCTGCCAGGGATGTTGTCATTCTTTATCACATTAATGTAATTTCCAGCTGGCATAAGTATCATTTGGATGACCATTCTTGGGCTACAAGAAGAGTTTAATCCGAACATCATTTTTGTGCCCGACTATATTTAACTCAGCTGTTCAAACATGTATTTGAAGCCTTCTCAGCTCTACTTAGTACTGTCAGATGAGCAGAGGCGTAGCGAGGAGGGGCCAGGGGGGACAGCTGCCCCCGGGCGCAAGCTAGTTAGGGGCGCCAAAATGTGCTTTGATATTATATTATTGGTAAAAATAATGGGTTTGAGAGTTGAAAAAAAGAAAAGGGGGCGCTTAAAAATGGATTTTGTCCCCGGGCGCCAATCACCCTCGCTACGCCTCTGCAGATGAGCCTGATCTTTCTATGGATTTCCCATTCCCAGTGTTGCCATTTCTTTTTCATAATGAAATCCAAATTGTAGTATATGAACAAAAACGGGAATAGGAGATGAAATAAAGGATAATACAGCATTTTTATAGTTGATACTGCGCACACATCTTAAGTGTATCAGTGAGTGATGGGTAAGTGATCACAGTTAAGGTTTTGATAAGCCCATGCAACTGACGATAATGCTATTGTGTAATTTGGCAAGAATAATCTGTAAAATGGTATGAAATGACTCGTGCTGTGACATGGTCTTACCAGAAATATTCCTTTAAAATTATAGTGTTCTCCAAGTGTTAATGCTATCGATGACTGTTAAGCGGAACCTAGTGTTGCACACACATTTTATTATTAGATTTAATATTTTTGTATTTGAAATTAGTTTTATCATGGGAAAAGAGTATTTAGAAAATGTGAATAGTACTTATCTTTTTCTATCCTTAATATTAATATGGTCCTAAGGAAACCTTTGGATGATATATCTTCCTCTACACTCACAACTACTAGTTACTAATTATTATAGTTTGTTTGCAGGTTTGGGGAAGTTACCAACTTTATTCTTTAGATTGATTCTTAAATTTTGGTATCTTCCACCTGGTTAATTAGAATGCACCGGAGTTCTATAAATCCATATTGAAGTGAAGCAGACCAAAGTTTGCAAATACAGTACTCTCACTGTTATTGAATAATTTGGCATTAGCTGCTAAAATAGGCAAGCAAATCTGAAGATATATATTTTAATACATCTTTTTAAAAAAATATTTTCAGACATTTACCCCCACCTCCAGTTCTTTGGGCTCAGAGAAAAGATAAAGTTTTCCTCACAATCCAACTTGAGAATTGCTCAAACCCAACAATCACTCTTAAAGACAATAGTTTGTACTTCCATGGGAAAGGAGGTACTGGCAATACAGACCATGAAGTTTTATTGGAGTTCAACAAGGAAATAGACCCTGATGTAAGATTAATGTATATTTATTCATTACACGTTATTAATTATTGGGTACCATACACTTATAATAAGCTATTTTCTTGAAATTCATGCTCCTGGGGTTTAAAATTTTTGTTAACTTAAATGAATCTAATGACTCCTGTTCTAACTGTGAGTGAATTTTTACAAGTCAGAAGGAACGGCTATGTAAAGCAGTGTCCATGCTTGATTTACTGTAAAATAGAAGTTAGTTGACACAATAAATAATGTTAAGTAAATTCAATAAAACAGTGGGCAATCATTTTAAGTACAGATTGATTTTTATCATTAAAAATTATGTATTTTATTTGCAGTTTCAGACCTTAATTATTTTGTTTATAATAACACTAAGCATATATTACCCTATACTATATTTTCAATAGAGGATGTATTTAATTTCTATTTTCCTATTTTTGTTCTTATCAGACATCGAAGTATCATATTACTGGACGTGAAATATTGTTTGTCATAATGAAAAAGGAGGATTCTTCCGGATTCTGGCCCAGACTTTTAAAAGATTCTAAGAAAGTAAATGCATTAAAAATATTTTTTAAAATTTTGTGCTAGATGGGTCAGGTATAGTAGCAGTAGATTTTTCAATGATATTGTTTGTGACATAGATTTAGTTAAGGATTATAAAATAACTTGCTTTTTCCATACATGAAATTATTTAATGTGCAGATGCTACAAATAGTCTCTCATTCTGATGAATTACATTTGCATAGTTGTCCCACCAAAAAAAGAAGTATTTGGTTTGCAAGTTAATTTTAATAGATTCTTTTTTTTTTATTACCCTATTATTTTTTTGGTACCGTAGTATCTAAGTTTGTTTTTAATATAGTTTATTCCATAACAAACTGAGGCTACCAGACTAATAGGCCTTAAGTTTAGACCTTCCTAGTTCAGCTTGCTAAATGGTAGTGTTAATTGCTGGTAGTGCTTATCATCAGTACCTTCCAAGTTTCTCTCTGTAAGTACTGAGAACAATCAGGTGAAATTATGTATTCATAATTGAACTGAGTTTACAATATAAACTATTATTAATTAAGAGTTTCTTGCTTAGCCAGCAACTATTGGGTTACTGCTTGTCCCTAGGGTGGTGAGACAGGGGAGAGTCACAGAATTGTGTCAGTCATTTTGGGGGTAAATGCAGGAGTGCTCTTTCCTCCTCCTCCCCCCCCCCCCCCCCCCCCTTGGGGGGCATGTTGCAAATTAGGATTTTCTGTGGGTACCATGTGGGGGTCAGGTAGCTGATTTCATTCCTTTTTTAGATAAGGCAGCAGTGGTAAAAGTTAACTATTCAGTAAGGTGTAGTCATAAATTTGATTAAAACAAAGGTGGTGTGATAAGAGTTTTCAGTTTTGATAAGTCTTTTGAATTATTGATTACAAGTATTGTAATAAACCTTTTTACTGGGTGTTTGGCCTTTTTTATTGTTATTAAGGCTTCTGTTGAAGTATTTTAAGAGAAGTTTTTTTTAATTTGTAAATCAAGTGGACTTGACTTAACAAACAAAGAATATTTGCGTTGTCAAATGATAAATAAGAGTTATCGGTTTATTAATTGGAGTCATGTCAATGTTATCAAGTGGATGAAAAAAAAATAATTTTTTGTGTGTGTGGTATCTTCAACAAGGTTCACTACTTGAAGACAGACTTTGAGAAGTGGAGAGATGAAGATGATTCTGATGTTGAGGACAATGAAGATTTTAACTTAGATGAAGTAAGTTATGAAAACAGAATATTCATACTACTTATATTATATAGCTCTGCTGGAGTACATCACATTTTTTACTTACTTAGATCATTATTTATATGAACTTCTGTTTAACAGCCTGAGATTGTTTGGCATATTATGATTAAAATCATTTTTTTTTAAAAATACATTAATATTTAAAGATCCCAAACATGCATAGTTTTGGAAACATAGCATGTCAATCCAAGCTTCTTTAATGTAACAAGCTTCTAATCTTTTAACTGGAGCAAAGTTACAAAGTATGGGTAGTTTAAAAAAAAGGCTTTAAATGTAAAATTGTTTAATTAAACAGCTTTACTTTAGGCCATTATTGGTTTTCTTTTGGATTGGGGAAGAAAATGTGACATTACTCAGAAATTACTGTAATTACTAAAATTAGTAAAAGTATGCATTTTTAACATTAAAAAATTATTTTATTTAGAATACTTGATTTTAAAGTTATTTAGCATTTTTTTTAGTTGTCTGTGATTACATTAATTGTTACCAAATCAATTTGACCAGATGATGCAGTCAATGGGAGGACTACAAGGTGGAGGAGGTGTTCCAGACTTAGGGGTAAGCTTACACTTTCAATTTGTGTGCATCAACATTTTTCTTTGGAATAACATCAAGATACTGAATAATTTTATTTTTTAAAATATTAATATTTTGATCAATTTTCGTTTACTTTTTGTTACATTATTATTTTATCTTACTCCTCTTAACAGGAACAAGAAGATAGTGATGACGAAGGTTAGTTTTCATTTTGTAATTTAAATTATAGAAACAATATATGGCAAAACTAAAACATTTTTATTGCTAAATAAATAGTGGAACAAGATGTTATATTACTGGGCTAGGACACAGTCTGTTTATTTGTTGTTAAGTGTCCAGTAACATCAGCAATGAACAGCCACTTAATGTAAATATTATTCCATTTCAGATTTGCCAGACCTACAATAATGACTGACTATGCGGACCTTAAAGAATTTTTATATAGTGTGAACAAATGTGTGGGTTGCATGTTTTGTGAGATTGATAGATATATGTCATGTCATTTTTAGCTGGAAATGTCCTATCACCAAAGTATATGTTCCAGTTCTGGACTTCAGCAACCAGTGCCCAATTACAATGTTAATTACTAAAAAGCATTGTGATTGGAGGTATTTTTATTTTTAAAATGTTAATTGGTTTACATCTTTTGTTAATAAAGTTATTAAAAAATAAGTTCTTCTAGTACATTTTTTATGCAGTTAACAAAACAGATTTTGTGGTTTTTAATATCACTTTATTCAATAATTTACACAGGTTATTTAAACCTTGTGACACATCAAAGTTCCTCCTTATAAAGCAGCATTGTATTGGCTATCACCATCAGTGAGGTCTAGAAATGTTTTTTGTAACATCATACTTTCTCATAAAGAAAAGATACAACCTAAATTGTGCAATTTTGAAAGTTTTTTTTTCTGAAGAAATATTTTGAAAACATAGCTACAAATAAATTTAATGGACTAATCACATCACTATAGAGACAAATTGATAAATACAATATTTATATGTAAGTTGTGAGATTATCCCTTTAGTTTGGCATTTTCACGTTGAGTTTCTTTGATCAGACGCTCTTTGTATGAAAAAATATCACCTTCCCATTTCGTGACCCTCTCTTTCTCACATACCCAGATTTCTTCTGTCACCTGAAAAATACAAGAGTACATAACTTAATCATTTTTGTGGTACAGACATTAATGCAGAATCACACCTATATTCCATTTCGTTACAAACTGTTGCCATTTTTAATGCAAAAAATCTTGTAATGTACAGTAGGGCTTTCCATTAAAAAAAAAACACACCGTTTTAATAAGAGGAACATCTTGTGAAGGAAAAATCTTAGCTTGGTATTTTATTAAAACTTTAATCTACAGATTGCTTCTCTCATGGATAAAAAATAATTGTATCCGAATGAGGACTGCACCACTCTCTGCTAGTAAGATCATGTGCATATTAAAATACAATTGACATGGGTGTGCTGTGTATTTGATCATTGTGGATTAACATTGATATTCTCTGCCTACCATACCTGAGAAATGAGCCTGAAGTCATGGCTGACTAGTAACATTCCACCTTCAAATGCATTAATCGCATCAGCTAAGGCATCAATTGTTTCTATATCCAAATGATTGGTAGGTTCATCAAGGAGTAACAAATGGGGGGACTGCCATGCTAACCAGGCAAACGTCACTCTGCAACGTTGACCATCTGAGAGATTTCGTATGGGGCAAACCTGGAAATAGAATTAGTTGCTCGGAGTTATCATAGGTTGTCATTTCTGCTTGAAATTGCTTTAAATCTTTGGCATCAAGCTAATGAACCTGTTGCCACCCCATTGTGGAAGATGACTAGCTAAATCTCAAACTCTTGTCACAGAGATAACGGTAATCAGCCAATACCTCGGATAAAATTCCAAAGATAAAATAAGTGTAAAAGTAATAAATGCTGAAAACTTGTTCTACTTTGGAAATAAAATATACTGGTACATAAGCCTCAGTACTGTTAAAAATTGAATGAGTTATATAGCTCCGGTTTTTGGATTGAAGGAAACAGTTTATTACGGTACATCAACCAACCTGTTGCATGCCTGTCAGACCGAATCTACCGATAATTTTTCTCATTTCTTCCCTCTCCTTTATTTCAGGGTAGCACTTCATCATGTAGTCCAAAGCTGTCATATCCAAATCCAATTGCTCACCAAGATGCTGTAGAGAGAAAAATTTTTAAAAATTATATTAGGTACCACAAACTGATTTTTCAAAACAGTCCTACAGCTTTATTTCATACTCCCACGTAAAACACTCATGATTCTAAGAACGTGGATACCAAACTTGTTCATATAACTCGATAAGAAAAAAAAGTTATGAATTTTTGGAATTTTTTTGAAAGCGTCAAAATTCCCATTTTTGTAAGGTTATATCTGTAAAACTAAATCACTTATACCCATTCACTTACACTCAACACACACCCACATATATAGAGAACAGACTAAATTTTTTTCAAAGGTTTAAAATAATTCATTAAATTCTGTAATAAAATGGCGTTTTCTCTCATTTTGAAAAAAAAAGGGGGGGGGGGAGGTAAAAAATGCAAAATTTGTTGCACATTTTCAAAAAATCACCAAAAATTAACCAAGAAGAAAGCATAAATGATAATTATATCAAAATGCAGGGGAACTAAAGGTCTATGTACTTAAACAGCAAGTGTAAACATAACATGTGTGTTTTAAGTGCAAGGTTTCATAAGAAGCAAAAAATCAGTCGTTTTTAAAAAATTGCAAAAAATCAAAAGTTACACCAAAAGATAAGCTAATAATACCAAAATATAGAAAAATTAATGCTCAACCTATTTCAACAGTCAACGAGCCAATAACGTATTTATATACCTACATTACAAACATAACTGGAACAGTGAAAGCGTTCACATGCAGAATTTAATTTTTTTAAAAATAAATGTTTTGAAACCACATGATAATTATATCAAAATGTAAGGGAACTAAAGGTCTATGTACCAAACTTAAACAGCATGTGCACCTATAGCATGTACTTTTAAAATACAAAAACCGTTAAAAAAGTGCACAGGTTCACGTGAAGCGAGAAATCGGCCATTTAAATAAAAAAAATAATTGCATAAAACCAACAGTTATACCAAAGCATAAACTAAATAAACCAAACTAATGAAAAGTTATAGCTCTAACATTTCAACGGTCAACGAGCCCATTACTTATTTATATACAATAAAAAACATGGCTGGAACAGTACAAATAAAATTTTAACGTTTACAAAAATGTAATAAAAATCGACCATTACAAAAATATTTATTTTATTTATATTCAGATATAGAGTAACCTGCTTTTTATACTAAGTAGTAGAACAAACTGCATAACTTTAAAATTTACATAATATGACCTTGTAAATGGGAAATCAACAACAACCTTAAACGGTCAACATCACCCTTTAAATTCAAATGTGAAGACTTTGAATATAATTTTTGAAAACAAATTTCATTTTTCAACGCCTCCAATAATGGTTAACCCCCCAGTTGCCTACAGAGGGAATCTACATCATCTGCCCTTGCACATGGACCACCATGTTTTTTAGAACATCAGTAAGCTGAGCTCTTTTGTTTATTTGTTTTAATTCTTTATTAATCTTTTTATACTGATTGACAATCATTTGCTCCCTGAGCTTTAACTGAACATTATGCTCAAGTTCCTTCCTGGCTCTCTTTAAGTCTAGGGGAATGCTTCCGAGCAAATGTAAATAACTTAGCTCTTTTGGATAAAGACTTGCTTTTTATGAATGCAGATGTTCTGTTCCTGTTGGTACAGTGTAATGTCGACCTACTGTGTAAAGAGCAGTTCTTCCTCTTATTTATGCCATAATCTAAGTCCCCAAAGGCACTTTCATCAATCAGGTTGGTAATGGGACAGTGAGATAAATTAAAAGCTTCTTTGGTAGGTTCTGATACATTATCACTAAATGGGCCAGTGCCAAGAAAATCTGCTAGCTGGCGTTTAGTTACAATAGCGCATTCTTAGTCTTATTTTAAAAAAATATATATTATTAGTACTGTTTACATACTGTATAACAATATGTAAGTCATCAAAAAAGACTTGAAAATCTGGGCCAAAAACAGATACAAAACTATCATGTATTAAATAGATTAGTCATTGATACAGACAGCATTCAAAACAGTCTAACATTTTCTTTACAAAAACATGAAACTCTGTGTACTTTACATTACTGTTTTTAAATAAAAAAGCGCAATAACACAGATTTCAGCCATTAACTCTGTTTCATTAACATAAAAAAATACACTTTTCATTTTTAAATTTATGTTTTCAGGCAAAACGCCAGATGTGAAAAATTGTTTTATCTTTTTTTTCATGTACTATTAATTAAGGCAATGCAAAGAATGCATTAAAACGATTAGATTTGAATGAAGAAATGCTTGAATTCTCACAGAAAGCCAGCCATTCTGCTCTAAACCCATTTTTTCTGATCACCCCTTGGCCCTAAAACATCACAAGCTGTTCGTATTAAGCACAATGCAGCTGTTTCACTGCTATTGGAAAAATGGTAAAATATGGATTCCTTATCTCTACCAAGAGAATGCCCTACTTCTTGTTTGAGTTCAGACTCAACAGCACCAAGGGCTTTTTCACAAGAAAAGAAAATGAGCATTGCAGTGCAAAAAATAAACTTGTATTTCTTCACCCAGTTCTTCGGAAACATAAGTACTAAATTTCGTCTGAAACAGTTTCATGGCAGAAGCTCTATCACTCAATGTGCTATTTATTTTTCTTAGAAAATGTTTTAAAATATTCTCAGAAGATTCACTTGAATACTCTGAATATAAATCAGCTAAAGACTTAAACAGATCAATGGTCGAATCTAACATGGTATTTGCATCCTCAGATGCTACTGGATTAAATACTAAAAAAATTACTTTTCCACTATCAAGAGATATTTGATGGCCAACAATTTTTTTACTGGTCTCTTGATGTACCATCGGTATGTAATGTGTCATTTTTCCACTCCAACAGATTTTCAGCAGCTTGCACTTGGCTAACTACATGAGACTCGGCACAAAAATTTTAACAAGTTGTTGCACTTGGTAGTTTCTCATCAAAAGTGTAATTATATGAGACACTTTGTCAGCTGCTATGCCGCAACCTGACATCAAACTGATAACTCTAGAGCAGCGTACTGTTTACCATCACCTAAAACAAAATTGAACAAATTATAAATGTTCTGTCTAACATTAATCTACATCATATCTATTATAAAAGAAATTACTTTGAGTTATTAATCATGCATTACTTTGACCATCCCCTAACTTTACGAGTTTTTCTGCATTTCATCATTCATCTACATTGCCAACAAAAATTATGATCACGTGACCTTTTATATTTATGAAAATTGACGCTAATAATATCATTTGCTAGTTATAAAAATTAGTAGCTATTAATTTTCAAAGTATCCTCTTTCAGAAAAGACAATAACATTTTAAAATGGGCAATCAGAAAAAAATAGACTTCACTACAGAGGGGGGGTTTAGGTCACCTGAGAAAGCCCAAAAGAGATAATAATCAGCGACAAACGAATGTATTTATATCTACAATAATACAAATTTCCTACAGAAATAAACAATTAAAACATAGCTGACACAGTTTCAAACTATTTAATTACATGTTTTTACTGATTTTACTTACCTACTAAGCATTTTAGATCGGCTAGTGTCAATTTAGATAAAACTTCTGGGGCGTTGTCAACGTGGTTTTCCGCCATTTTGTCGGACTGGGAACGAGCGGGTCGAATGAAAATTATAGGGTTCTTTGTTTCACTCAGCCGTATTTGGCCTAGCTTAGAAATGAGGTGTTTTCGTATTTTAAAAAAAAATAGGACAAGCTTTCTAATGATGCTGGTTTGAATTTCATATTTTGCCAAAATCATGTAGAAAATAATCATTTTCTTCGATTTTTTAAAATCTTAAATATTTTAACTGTTACGTTACATTACAGTTTGGTAACTATAGGGTATTCATTTCTGCACACGATACACTTATTTTTGACGGAATTCAACGAATGACCGAAAACGGCACGCAGATTGAATAGCGCGGGGGGTGGTGGTGTGTGTATGTAAAAAACAATCGCTTGACTGCCGATAAAAAGTCACTGGTGATGGTTTTCAGGCGATAAATGTAATATATTTTATTATATGAACAATGAAAATAACATAGAATCAGAGGGCTTAAAATATACTTTTAAATGGTACCATTTTTATTAGTATATGACCAATTTTTAATATAGAAAAAGTTACTAAATACCGGCTTTCGTGAGGTGAAAGCTCGTTTTCAAGCCAATTTGTGGTACCTAATTATATAACACATTTTACAGACAGATCAGACTCCTTAACTTATTTCATACATTTCACCAAACTCAACATAAGACATTTAAGATTGATTTGGCAATTAGTACAACCCTATAAAAATTTAACTGTAATTAATCATTAAAAAAAAGAATATTGTATGCAATCAACCAATAGTTACCTGGTGGTACCTTCCTATTTTTAGATGCGAGTGTCTTCGGATTAAACCATCAGTTGGTATCAGCTAAATATAAAGAAAAAAAATGAAAAATCCATTATCATATATCGTTTCAGTATACAAACATGCATATTCTATTTCTACAGCAGTTAAAGATATTTATCCACGAAGCAATAGTCCAGAATAATCCAACATTTTCAAATACACACCTCTCCAGTAATGAGTTTGAGAAGGGTCGACTTTCCTGCTCCATTAGGACCCACCAGGGCTACACGAGTGTCCAAATCTATTCCAAAGTCCAGATCTTTGTATATATATTTCTGAAAAAGGAAAACCATTATGAAAGAACTGGCATTCTAAAAATGTTTATATGAATAAGATAAATAATATGATGCTTTGGGTTTAATGGTTTTAGGTGTGTGTACACTCACCTTCCCTTCACTGTAACGAAAACTGACATGTTGTACCATAATGACAGGCGGGGGGATGACGCCACAGCTTGGGAAGTAAAAGGAGACAGTCTGAAACAAAAAAAAAAGAAACCTTGTTTGGTTGGACTCTAAACATGTCTTGCAGGTTCAACATTAGAGTCAGTAAAATAATCTTACACTCATGAAATATTCTCTTAATGTATGACAGCGTTACGTACCGCTACATTAATCCGTTTTAAGATTTGGATTGTAGAATGGACAAAGGACTGAAAACCAGCATACCAAGAAAATGATACCAAAGCTAGTCATACTAAAAATATTCCATTTAATTATACTTATACTTTTACATTTTTATAAAAATACAGATATACAAAAAAAAAAAAAAAAAATGGGGGAAACAAACTTACAACAGAAGAAAAAAGGAAAGAACAAAAAAAAAAACAAAAAAAAAGGACTGAAAACCAACATACCAAGAAAATGATACCAAAGCTAGTCATACTAAAAATATTTCATTTAATTATACTTATACTTTTACATTTTTAAAAAAAAACAGAAATACAAAAAAAAAAAAAAAACATGGGGGGTACCAACTTACAGCAGAAGTGAAAAGGTAAGATCCTCGAAAAATACTAATATTAATCTACACACATACAAAGAGTACAATCTATTAGTTATAAAACCTGTCGTATATGTCTAGGAAATATAGTAAAAATCTCTCCAGGATAGGAAAGCTGCCAGCCTATATATTAGAAAAAAAACAGAACTATCCGGAAAAGAATGTTCGTCGTCTGATGGTATTGTTTAGAAAAAAAAAGAAAGTATTAAAAAGTAAACAACATTTTCCCAATCAAAGGGTGGTGTGGGTAAAAAGAGTGGCATAGCAAATTTAATAGGTGATGTCAATATCCAAACAAAGAGCAGACAAGTGGTGATGACAAAAATGCTAAATTTGGGCTTACACACACCATAACAGTATTTTGTGAATCGGATTGTTAACTCACCTTGTCTGAAGAAACACGTTCAGTGAGACCACTATCTACCATCTTTTTAAGAGTCTTCTCTTTACTTTGTGCTTGTCTGGCCAGTTTAGCACTGCCATGACCAAATCTAGCTATATAGTTCTGAAATCAAGAATTAACAATGCAAATTGAATTTTGCTTAATAGAAGATTTTTTAAAATTCCACAATAACTTTCAAACCTTGCAAAACCATAAATAAAACTTACCAGATATGAAAGAGAAAAAACTTAAGTAAAATATTTTGAAGTATAGTACCTTCATGTGTGCTATTTGATCCTGTTCCCATTTGTACTTTTTCATCTGGTTCTCTTCTAATTCAAACCGGGTCTGTATGTAGCTGTCATAGTTACCCTGAAACAGATTAAAAATTTTATACTAAGATTGTTAGTAAGGTTGATATGAGCTAAGCATTACACAGCTTTTAAGTTTGCTTCAAGGGTTTTTATTTATTTTAAAAAAAAACAGAAATTTCTAATATCAAAACATATTGCACAGTTTTGTGCAGGTGTTCTTAAATTTAATCTTCTTTGTTGGGCCACCTAGCATATTTTTTATTGTGGTTAAAACTTTAAAGAACTTTGTAATGCAATTAAAAAAAAGATTACTTACTGACTATAAGTGTTTCTTGGGTATTTTAAGTATAAGCAAAATTATTAATAGTGTGCGTTTATTTATAAAAATATCCGCCAAATAATTTACAAGAAATCAGCAAGTTTAGAAGTCAGATGTTGAAATAATCGCTTCAAGGAATTTGAACATCGATCCAAGCTCAACCACAGAATGGAAGCTAAGGAACTATAACTCGGCCTTTTATGTCATCATTCTTCCAACTTGCATGTAAATACAAAACTTAATCAGGAAACAATCACAATCTTGGGAACTTTGCATATAGATTGGGTAAATAAAAAGACCTGACAAAAATGTACATGACCAATGATTATTTGCTTGAGAATGAATAGAGGAACACTTACACCATAGTACTTGAGTTTCTTCTGATGCATGTGAACAATATTTGTACAAACACCATTAAGGAAGTCTTGAGAGTGGGATATGACTACAAGAATACGTGGGTACCTGAGGAAACAATTTAAATGAATATTTCATTGTAAAATATAATGGTTAAATTACAAAATTGTGTTTCAAAATCTATTTAATTACTAACATTAAAAAAAGAATGTCTGCAAATAAAAAAGAAATTAATTTATTTATCACAACAATCACAGAACACAATCTTCCAGACAACAGAGCTAAAAACAGACAAAATACAAGAACATTTTTAATGGGACCAATTTAATCCAGAAAACCCACACTCTGGCATCTACTTAAATGAAAGTTGCATTAGAATAGATATTTGTTATTCAGTAAGCCTCAGTCATAATCTTTTATTTGAAAAAATATAAGCCCCTGTAAGTATATTGCACACATACAATTAACAAACATCAAGACCTAAAATATATTGAATGTTTAAACAAATACAAGATGACTTATTACGTTTTTAATTCTTCCTCAAGCCAGACACAAGCATTGAGATCTAAGTGATTGGTCGGTTCATCCAGCAACATAAGACAGGGTCGTATAAAGAGAGCTCTAGCCAAAGCTATCCTCATTCTCCAACCTCCAGAAAAATCTTTCACCTGTTTTCATTGTTTAATTAGAGATGGTGATGAATATGTGAAAAATTTCATACATTATTTAACGATTTGTGATATATATGACTGCATACACCTATGTAAGCTAAATTAATATAATTAACATAACAATTTCGGGGTGTTTGTTCATATATCAAAAGTTTGTGTAATAACCACCTTTTTCTCCTTTTATGTAACACCAACAGACTGTCTTGTCTAGACCAGTCAAGTAAAGCAATTTAAGTGTGTGATATTTAAACAAATACATTCACCGATTCTGTGCGCATGCACTACTTATCTCTATTTCCTTATAATTACCTTTGTATTTTGCATGGTACGTGTAAATCCAAGACCATGTAGAATGTAACCCGCTTTAGCAGCTGCTTTTCCAGCATCCATTTCCTCAAGTCTCTCATAAACATCAAGCAATCTTTCATGCGCAGCTGGTGAATGAAATTCCATTTATGAATGCAAAGTTGTTTTTTTTAAAATTATCTTAAATTTAGTAATAATCAAAATAATACTAAAACTGCTGCATCATGAATGCTATTGTGTGTTTAATCAATGGTGCATAGCTCCAGCAGCCGTATGTTCCCTGAGGTGTCAAGGATGTTGGGCAGTTGTTGGAAATAAGTCTCACTGAGCACTATGTTGGCTCATAAAGAACTGGTCATAAATGAGGCCCAAGTTTTGAAAAAGGTGGCAGAACAATTCAGAGAAAGAATTTATAAGATGGCACCAAGTAACACGGTTACGGCATCTATTGTTAAGAAATTCTGGAAGAGTACTGTATCAGTAGAAGGGTAAGCTAGTGACAGTTTTGACGAATGAGAATCATGCACTTGTTCTGCAGTAGATTCTACATTCGCCCTTACAAAGTCTATGATAAACATCTTTGAAACTGAACATCATTGATTCATCCATTTTCATAGGTGCATTTTTGTACCAGATACAGGTCAGAAAATACTTGACAGTGCCAAATATACAAGCATAGGATGATGTATAATAAAGCATTTTGGCCAGGTGTACAAGAATTTTTTTAAGGAATGTGTGGTTCTGACGAAAGTCCCATTTACTTGGACAGCTACATCAATCACAAGATAACTTGCTTCCTTGGTTTTGAGTGGCTAGATATTGCTTCCTTGGTTTTGAGTGGCTAGATATTATAATTCATAAACTACTACACAGTCAGCGTGTGACTTTATGGTGTGCTGTTTCATATATTACATATAAAAGCTATTGTTCAGTGAGTGATATGAACACTATATACAGCAAGGTAGTGCATACTATGAACATTTACATTATGCATACTGAGGTAATTCAACAGGTTAATAGTGTGTATTTTATTTTCTTTCAGGGGAAATAAATTTACAGGTAGTAACAAGGAAATATTGTTTGTCTTTTCTTTTCAGAACTGTTACTTTTGGTGCATGCTGGATTTAAAAAGAATAATATTTAAGTGAAACTCGTATCAAACAAATAAAAATTGTTCAAGCAGATTAAGAATTACTTACCAGGATCAGTATTGTGAGCAAGCTCTTCAGCTTCTTTCTCAAGGCGATGCCTTTCATTGTCTACCTCCATGACACTTTCTAAAGCAGTTTTATCACTAGGTGGCATTTCTCGCCTCAACAAGAAGGTATCTATATGATCAGGAATAGGAACTTCTCCAGCTGCCAGGGCAGCAAGCAATGATGATTTACCTAGAAGACACAACCAAAACTTGTCAATTAATTCATTGCTAAAATGAGATATGGAAAATATTCAAGCTGACTTAAACAGAAAAGGTTGTCAATTCCAGTAAAAAAAAAGTGATGTTTTAAATTTTTATAGGGGTAGTCGACAAGCCATTTTCATTTTTTTAAGCATTTCTAATGTAAAGGGCGTACCAAGTTTATATACATACTTTTTATCTGTGTTTATTCCAATTTAAAGTTTACAAGCAATAATTATTTTCAATTTTAGTTCCATTTAAATAACTGTTTTTTAAAAATCCAACAAAGCAGCCACAGATGAAACATCATCTGCACAAATTTAAAAATTGTGTCAGTGTTGCAAAAAAAAAATTAAATTGTTACCTTAATGTGGTATAAAGAAATAATTAACAATAATTATCTACTAACCATCTTAAAAAAGAATGGTGTGTAACAAATTAATAAATTATTTATTTAAAACCTACCACAGCCATTAAGACCAATGAGACCATATCTACGACCCACATTTAGCTCAAGAGTGGAATCCGTGAGAAGTTCAGCACCATGGAAAAGGATAGAAAGATTGTGAATGTGAAGATCTCTACTGTCTGGATGTGAAGCTATCACTCCAGTGACAGAACGATGTTTTGCAGCTAAAGCCAACTCATCCAACAAAGCAGCCACAGATGAAACATCTTCTGCAAAATAATTGTATGCAACTTCAAAAATCTGTTGATAATGTAGCAGTTTCTTAAAACATGATTTGATTTCTGTAATAGTTACCTGACTTTCCATTACTGGTAACTGAATCCCCATTTACACCATCTTCATCGACACCATTTTCCTCAGCACCATCTACATCACCTTCATCGGCTTTTAATGTTTTTTTCTGACTGCGGGATTTTGCAGCTTCCTTCTTTTTTGCATCTCTTTTTTTCTTTGAATCTGAGGGCATTGTGGTGGATCTGTTGAAATGAGAGTCATGCATAAATTGTGTTATTTTTTAAAACTTGCATTGAGATTGAATAAATTTACAAAATGTTATTATAAAGTATTAGGCCATAGCAATCATATGTTAAACATGCTCATATTTATTTAATAGTCATATAAAATTTTATATTGGTCAAGACCAGCATTTCCTAAACTTTTTTTTTTGAACCTGTATAGGTGTTCATAACTTATACCCAACTAAAATTTTACAGCTTATTCTGGCAAATAGGTAACATAAAACAGATTTGAATGCATATTCATTTTTAATGTAACTTATTTGTAACTCAATTTTCTTTAAATTAAAAAAAAAAAAAAGGCATTTTCCCAGACAAAAACTTTAAGAAATAAAAAAGGAAACTATTTTTTTCATTGTATGTTTATCTCTGTTATGTGCTTTTGTTTGGGCTAATTAACTGTGAAAAAGCGCCTAGTAATTTACCTCGCTCGTACAGATTCAGAGCTAGTAAATTCAAAGTAACGTACTTATAGATTAATGGAAAATTTACTTTGCTTCTTGAAATCAATAAATTTCATATGCCTGCTAAGTCAAATGTAAATCACTTAAATTGTGCAATACTGACAAAAATATTCACTAGTTGGACTTTTTCTGCCACATACCATCATATATTATATTTTTAGCATACAAATTACCCATGCTTTAACTTTGGCTTAACTCATTCATTCATAAAGTTTATTAAAGCCATTTATTGCCAAGCCTAAATTGGACACAATTTGCCAGGTTCCGGTCAGAGAGTTAATACCTGTTCTTTAACCTGTAAAGTTTAACAGTGCTGTGACATCAAACCTTTTTAGTAACTTTGGTATGAATTATTTAAATACATGTACCCAAAACTAACAGGAAATTAATCCAGAGACATATAAGCATTCTTAGAAAAATTGTGTGCCCTAACACTGACTGTTGGGTCACATTTTTATGCAAAGATTATTTTCAGACACAGAAATCAATCAATCAGTCTATTCTATTTACTTTCAGAAAATATAGTTTTTGGGGGGGTTTTAGTGCTTATTGTCATATTTCAATAGAAAATAATAAAATAACACTAATCTCACATTTTTCCTAGCTAGTCCTGGATCTGTCTATGTTTAAGTTTCAGCACATATTCTTCATAACACCCAACTTTGAATGCTGGACACCAATGTCTAGTTCATTTTCTACACATGGCCCATACCACATTTTGCCTTAATCAGACCCGTTTAGCCCCAAATTCCAAAAATCGTACAATATCATACAATACATTACCTTAATATTAAATAAATAAACACACTGTACAGTATATATAATGTATACAATAACTACTCGCATTGCGTGTCTAGTCAAATCGAGTCAAGCTGACATAAAAAAAGGTACCTTCTACAATACATAAGAACATGCCTGACATTTATATTGCAATCTGCTGTCACTTTTTTTTTTGCAGACGTGTATCTGCTATAGTTATCAATTAATATTTAGGTCAATGTGCATATCAGTCTGTCACTAGTACAAATAAAATTACTGGTGAAATTTAACTTGGTCCAACCTGGAAGTGAGATCAACTCAAATAAAATTTATTAAGATAAGAATTTATTAACAAATTAGGGCATCATATTAAAAAAAACCTACCAAGTAACTTGAGATTGATGTTTTAGGACAATTTTTTTAAAAAAATAAATAAGAATCAATATCCATTGTGCCTATTTCCTGATACATATAACAGTCTGATAATTACCACAGGCTTTAAATGGGGGAAAGGAAGAGAGATATTAAAAATCGTACAGCTGTTAAGCGTGATCTAAAATAGATTGCAAAGACCCTCTCAGTCGTCTCAGCTCCTATAAAATATGTGGAAATCTAATATTGCTGCGCTGAATAGTTGAGAATAGGCGTCAAAATCAGGGGGCACCAAAATAGTATTTAGAAAAGACCTCAAAAATGAATTAAATTATAAAATCCCATTTACTTCACAAATCAAGGGGTGCTAAAAAATAGTCCTTTTACTGCTCAGCATTTTGGGCACACAACACCACAACATTTTTTCTATATGGGTTGCTGGGGTTTCCTCACAGTGATGTTGCAAAATATTACACATTTTTTATTATTTTATTTCCACTTTCGGTCGTTGTGCAAACAGTAACCGACTTGAGTAACTACTGTTTGGAGTTGCAGATGGTGCTTACTGACCTACATACATGTTATATTTATTTTTACCCAACCCTTTTTTTATTTTGTGTATGTATACTATATTTCAAAGTGTACTTATTAGAAATTAACAAAGGAGTCTGGTGAGCACATAAATTTGGCAAAGGCGCTGGGAAACAACAAAATTTTTAGAACCACTGGCGTAGTCCAAGAAAATATACGTCACAAGCAAGTTGAACTTGAACACAGTGTGAGTGGACTAAATATTACTGTGCTACCTCTACTACTGAGTACTGTCTGAGTGTATCTAGGGAGTTCATTTGTGAAAAATACATGGTGACAATTCCTTAAAATTGCCATAAGCATGCTTTTTTTTTTGGACCTTCAGGAGGAATATTGTAAAAATATTTGAATAACTTATGTATTTTCTGCTGAGATACCCCCCTTCCCCTACAAACTATCACAAAATATGTGGCTGTGATAATCTTAAAAACTTAAATATTTAGACCCCCAAACACAGTGACAAAATCTCCTAAATCAACAACACTCCACCCCTCTCTCAGGCCACTCAGTGCAAACGACGACGAAACGTGATATAATTATAGATTATCTAAAACTAATTGTAATTCTCGATCCATTCACTGCTGGATGTAGAATGCAAATACAATTTACAACTAACAGCCGGAAAAAAAACTAACACTAACAGAATGTTTATATTTTCAACCTGGTCTCTTAAAATACAATCGTAGTTCTGATGGGTCTCGGCATATAATCATAAAATACAACACAAAATCATAAAAGTGAAAGGTCTGCTTAATTCCCTCTCACTACAGACCAAGCAGTCTCTTCTTATGATATTAATATTGATTAATTGATATAAATCTTTAGTTGATGATCAAACAATGATGCAGAATATTTCATTTGAGTCACATGACATTACTAATCATTACATAATTCAATTTTAAAAATCTTAAAACTAGAATCTTTTATTCATCTTGTAATATAAAATCCACCAGAACATTTACCCACACCAGTTTTTATCCCAATCATCCACTGAAATGTTATCAGTGGTTGACAGTATATGTCCAACTTATTCCAGGTGGCAAAATTATTTTCACCTCTTTTCATTTTCTAAATCTCTGTGGCTTTGTGTACCATATTAAAATTTATAATCTAAGTAATTACTAAGTAAGGCTAAACGGACCTAATGATTTATAACAACGGAGTACTTCAATTACAACACAAAGTCCTGTCTAGTGTCCTCCTAAAGTTGCTTTATTACATATAAGGTTGGTGAGTTAACTGCCGGTACTATGAATATGAAGCACTGCAGCCAAGGCGAAGAATTCGAGTGTTAGCCAAGTAGGGGCAGGGGTAAAGTAGGCAGTGGTCTTAACTTTTAGAACCAAAAATGTACCTTTTCACTCAAACCCAATTTAATATCAGTTTTTACGTAAATAGCATATTAATCAATTGAGCTTTACTTGATACACTCACGTACAAACTGTCTGGACACTTACATTTAATACGGAGCGTCACAGGCAGATTTAACCACTGCGTAACGCATGTGTTGTCTATTCTTGGTACCGGAAAAGGAAGAATGACGATGATTCTATAAGTGGCAATTGCCTCATTTGCCTGTTACATTTTTTTATTATCAATATCGCGTTGTTCCAGAAACATTGATAAAATTTAGAAAATTTAGATCTAATACAAATTGTACAAATTACATTTTTATCTAAGCCAAAAACAACTATCTTTAAATATGTCCCCCCACCCCTAAAAAAAAACAAAACAATATTACATAATGTCTTTTATTCAAAAATATTTTTTTTTATACCCGTTGACGATACTTCCGTTTCTTTTTGTTTAGTTTTCTAGTTCCGCTATTACTCTGCTATCTGTTAGAGTTGGTACAGAGTTTTCTTGTTCGTTTTACGCAATACATATATACAGGCCAACTCTACTGACACTTAGTTAATACTTCGTAAAACAAATCAAGAAGATAGACAGAACGGTAAATAGTAGCTAATGCCTTAGCCTTTAGATTGTAATATTATCGCCTACGGATTCTGATTGAATATAATTTAATAATATTAAATTAATTAGTATTATTATTATTAATTATAAAATATAATAATTTAATAATAATAATATTATAATAAAGATTAGTCTATTATTTATTAGAAACTAACCATTTCAATAATTGAAATTGTCATTCAACATTCATTTCAATATGATTGATCAATTGAATTGTCATTCAATTTCAATTTTAATTTATGATTCATTCATTGTTCAATAATAATAATTGTCAATTCTGGGCTACCCAATTCTGAATAATATAAAAATAGGCTATATAATATAAATAGGCTATAGGAGACCAAAAAATATAGGTATTGATAGTATTATATTTATATTTATTAGTCTAATTCAGAGGTTCTCAACCTGTGGGTCGCGACCCCTTTGGGGGTGGCCTAAGACCATCTGAAAACACAAATCCTTACACTTACAGTTACAGCTATGAATATGAAGTAGCAAAGAAAATAATTGTGTGGCTGGGGGTCGCCACGACACAAGAAACTGTATTAAAGAGTCGCAGCACTAGGAAGGTTGAGAACCACTGGTCTAATTAGTAGGCTATTATTATTAATAATTTTATAAATTAATAAGTCTAAGTAACAATAACTTAAGTAGTCAATTTCAATTATCATCATCAAAATCATTACTAATTATATTATAATAAAATATAATTATAATTGTCAACTCATGGGCCCTAATGACTAAGACAAGTTAAACTAATTTAAGTTAAAATAAAATTAAATGACATAAATCATTAATTAAATGATGTAGTCTGTAGTAGTTGTTGGACTGGTAGGCAATGCTAATTGTTGGTTAACACTGATGTCCTATGTATATGAATACTGTGATTTTAGTTATTTTACAAATTTTAATAAATCATTAAAACTTATGGTACCAAACACATTTATACGTTTAAGTTTATGACTATGACCTAGAAAATTTATGCAGGCTAGTTATCTCTTTATTAGTTTGTAAAATGTTTGGTGTTCCATCAATAAGAGACAGTTTTGTATTAATTTTTTTTAAGTAAGTGCAACAGTTGGCCTATATAAATTATATATATTATAGTCTAGTACTTATAGACACACTACAACTATTACTACTAGAGAGAATATCCCTCAGCCAAATCTTGGGTATTAGTATTTTTTTGTCTTTTAAAAATCAGTATCATTGGCCTGTATTTATTATATTACAGAACTGTAGTATAATATTATTATTATAAACCGGTGGTCTAGTTGAATAATATTAATATTACATTTTTCTAACATACAAATATAAATTAATATTTTTAGCAATTTTTTACTTTTTTACTTCTAAATTTCTTTCATTTATCATTAACTCTTTCGCTGTGGCATATTTTTATATAAAAATTGTACATTTTTTTCGAAAAGCGAAAAAGAGTGAAGGGTTGGGTTTATTAAAAAATATTTAAAATATTATTATTTGGTTTATAAGACTAAACTTGGTATCAAATGAAATATAAATGAAAGGACTATATGTTTGTAAGCTATTTTTTCAGTTTAAATAAAATAAATTACAGAAAATAACCATTTTTCCCCCAAACCCTATGATGTAAGCATACCTCATCTTCATTTCTATTACTAAAATCCTCTAAAACTACTACTATCGGAATCTTGTGATGGATCTAAATGTAAATCATCTTCACTATCAAAAGAAATAGTATAAAACAATTCCAAAGCTTTTTGAGACGTTAGTCGTCTAGGAAACTTACTCACCTGCTAGGGCCTGGAGTAGACATAGCATTAGTAGAAAAAAAAAGCGAAGAAAATCATTAAAATAGTGCTCCAAATTACAACAAATAAACCTTGGTTTCGCTTATTAACAATGAAGTACCACTCTTCTTTGTAAAAGTATTATTTAAAAATAGCTCTTAAAAATTTTAAACGAGAAATAGCAAAGAAACAAACATGAAATTGAAACAACGCACAGCGCGTTGGTCCGTGCTTTTGAGAACGACGGATGAACGCGGTGTGCGTTGTTCTGCATTGAAAGAGTTAATAGCTTTTTATTTTTAAATACCGTAATAAATCTACGCCATAGGGCCAATTATAATTGATAGTTTAAAGTTAAACTCAATTTTATTAACATTGTTTATTATTTCCTTTTTTTTGAGTGTTTCAATATAGAATGTTGCGATATCATTGTTTTGTATTGTCAAAGTTACTTCTCTTTGTTGTCAATGTGTGAGGCCAGTGTTTCTTCAATTGAGATGTGAGAGTCCATGTTGTTTTGCTTGTAGCTAGTCATTAAAAATCTAGACAGGAAGCTGAACAGAGGTGTTAATTTCCCGTGTGTTAGACATAGTATTACCTACTACTACTAAATATAGCATGTAGTAGTCTAGAAATTCTAGTAGAATAACCAGACTTTTATAATGGGAAGGAGAGGTCACCATAGAATATTCATATGAATGCCAGACTTTTTATTTATACATGCCTTTTTATTTTCCCAGGGGATAAAAAAAAGAGTTTGAATCTGTGTGAAGATGGTCTTAGGAAAAGCATTAGCACGTTGTAACTACTGGTACTTCTCATACACAATTCTGTCAAATGTTTACTTTCTGGAGCCAGTAGAAAGATGGGCATGCAGTATCCTTTTTATTATTTGTTATTGAAGTATACACTCGTTTTCATAGCCATTGTAATCACAATACTATTTCTTTAATTTCAATTTGAACACACATATTCAGCTGTGTAATCTTGATAGATATAATATAAAATTATTTGGCAGAATGTGGTTAACAATAATGACTAGTCTTATAATTAAGTTCTCTTTTAGAATTTCAGATATGAACTTTTAGATATAAATAAGTTTATATTAAAATTCTTGTTTTAAAGCTTTTCCTTTGTCATATTTATTTTTCTATTACCGGTATTTGTAAGTTGTAATAGCAATATCATGACAAAACTTTTTTTTTTTTCATTTGATATTCCTTAACAGATTCAAGATATATTGCTGCTATTCTTCCTGGCTCTTGTGTTTTACACCTCATATGTCTACCTTCCTGGCCATTCTCTTATGATGCTTCACTTTTTCAAATATCTTTTGGGGATTGAGAATGATACAGAGATAGCTGTTGTTACATGATGACCCACATCAATATTTCTAACTTAAATATTTCTTTAAATAATTATGAATCATTGTATCATAATGAATGGGATTGTATCATATCATCATTTGTTCAGAGACTAGATTTCTGAGGAGAATTTTGTAATGAAAGATTAAAAGGCAGATTATTATACCAGTTGTTGATTGAAGAGTGTGTGTAATTTTCTTAATATGTAGATAAACATTAATTAAATTTATCTTATTTAATTTGATGTACCTGTACCTAAAAAATGTAACATGTTCTTTGTTTATTTGAACTTGATCATTAAAATAGAATTATCTTTACTTTATTCTAATTTTGTTTCCTTTCCAAAAGAGCCTTATACTTATTTCACATCTTAATCCATTAATTATGTCAACAAAAGTGAGAGAGAGGGGGAGGGGGGGTTAGAAATGTTTGACAATTGTTGGAAAAAGTGGGGAGGGGTAGATTAGTTGTCGTCAACAATCATGTTTTCTCTATTAAAATTTTAATCTTAAAAATTAACTGGTTATTACATTATTTTTAAAAATTTAATGAGTGTAAATATTCATATAATTTTTAGGCTTTTAACAATATAAAATTTATTTAGTGTGCGTCTGTCTGTCTGTGCACTGCAGGTGGCTGGTCAGAATGTTAGCACACTTTGTTAGTGCAAGAAAAGTCAAAAGTTGGTCTCTTCACCTGTAGATTCTGTTTGCCGCAAATGACCAGGCAGTATGTTTGCGGTCATGTTGCAGGTATGGAACAATGTTCAATTGTAATGTACAATCAAGATAAATGATATTGATAGAGTAGAAATAGGATATTTTGAGAATTAGGGGAAAGTAAAGTGAGTAACAATTAAAACATAGCTGCTTAAATGGATTTGCAAAATCTGTAACTGTAAAATGTATTTTGCATCACAAGTCATGTTATAAAAGCATCTTCAACAGCACCAACAATGCCCTCTTGAGCGAAAGAAATTACCACCTGCTCCTCAACAAAAAAGGATTTGATGAATTTTAAGTGTAAAAACTTTCTTAACTTGTTGATTAGCAAGCTAAAGATGTAATAAAATGATTTTCCAACAATTTTCTGTCATTTAAATAGGTCAGTACACAAAAATGTATTTATTTATATCATAATTCCTTTTTTTTAGGGGGGATGGGGTTATAAAATGTTGACATAATTACTTGGGGGGGGGGGTGTCATTGAAAGTTTGACAGTTGTTGACAGGTTGAGGGGCGTAAAAATGTTTGAGAAATAATTGGACCACCCCTAAACAGGCC